AATATGCGTTTTTGCTGCCTGTTGCAGCGCTCTAGCGCTGCACGGCAAAAACGCATAAAAAGGAGTTCCCTTCATTCTTTCTCTCGTCTCCTTTTTTGATGCTTGGGAACTTGGAGGCAGAATTTGAGAGGAGGAATAAGCAGAGGTAGAACTAAGAACATGGGATGCCGTGTGTTTCGCAACTTGATCACGGAGGGAAATGGGCCGTGTTTGCACGAGTTGATAGCTTTGTTCAGGTTTGGTTTGAGTTCTCGATTTGACACCGATTTTCCGGCAGTTTTGACGGGCCGCCTGGCTCCCGAAGAGCTGGCCGATACGATGCGTAGGATCAATGGTAAATTGGCGAAGAGCATGCCGGGCAACGTCCGTTGGCTTATTTGTGGGCTGCTTTTTTGCTGTTGCACCGCTGGTTGCTCGCTGTGGCCGGTTATCTGTCTGAATAAACGAGTAAGTTAAGAATCGTTTTGCTGGAAGCTTCTTGAGTTAGTTGGTGGAATCAAGCCAGTGCTGTGTCCTCTCGATGGGAACGTACCATTTGGTAGTGCTCATTGTAGTGCATGCATCCATGAAAGGATGGAATTGGCCATCAGTCGTCTGGGTGGGGCAAAATGAAAGTCGGATAGACAAAGGCATAAGCTTCATAGAACTGTTAATTATACACAAAAAATATCAAATTAAGGAAGCACCACAACTGCCATCACTATGACGGCTCCGATGATGTTGACAGAATAAATAAAACGAAATAAATTTTTATAAGAAAATATATTACAATTTAACCGGTAAAAAGGGGCAAAACTGGATGTGGGAAGGGGGCGGGAGGTACTGGTCGTTAATATGAAATACTTTTTTTGAAAGAATAATTTTTCAGACAGTGCATTCATTAGAGAAATTATTGGACCACGAGAATCAAACGCTATACAATAAGCTCGGGCTACACTGGCGGCTGGCGAGGCGACCTGTCGATGTTAACTATAGCATGACCGAATATGTGCTACTATTAGAAATTCTTCCAAAGGCTCCGCTTCTATTGCCGGATTAGCATCGCCCTCCCAATACAAGGTGAGTTAAGCGAATATTAAGAATTGAAGAAAGTGCTGCTTTCAGAGTCTTTTTATTGCGATAAGCGATTTCTCTAGTTCGCTTTGGAAATACCGGGATAGTGTCTGCAGTACAGTGGCTGAACTGTAAGCTCGTAAATTGGCTCTAGTTTGCTACACTGCCATCACTGGACTGTCACACCATCAGTGAAATAGAAGAATAGAAGAATTTCACTTGAATGTCATGTGTTTGAAGACATTTTATGAAAATTGATGAGCTTTGTATGCTTGCTGTAATCGGAGATGCGATGGTCAACAGAGATGCAGCTAACTTCGCTTTCCCTCTCTTCTTTTTGCTCCTTATCATGTACAAAGTGTTGGTTATGCGGACTACTTCCCTACGTTTTTTTCCGTGGAGCTTCAGCTCACCCACCAGCTGTTATGTAACGGCCATCAAGAAAGAGATGCTAATGCTTAATTTGAAGAAAACTAAGCAATGAAAGTAGAAAGGTTAAACTGCTGGGGTTTTTTTCTCTAATTCTATGGGTAACTTTTAGGCGAAAGAAACTGATGCTGGATATTGGAGTACGTATTTATACGATACTACTGTTGATCTTATGACGTCGGCTAGAACTGTGCGCAGCAGATTGTTACTGGTTTGGAAAGAAAACACACCGGGTATTCTCAAGTAAAATTAGACGTGTTTATATATGCGGTGAATCAATGAAATTTTATGCGAAAACAACCAAGTCTGCCCTCGTAAGTCAACCAAGTCTGCCCTCGCAACAACTAAGTCTATGTCAGAATTGAATGATCGGTCGGGACGGGAAACGTGGCAATGATGAATAACTGGTGAGTAGTGATTTGGAGACCAGACGAAGCCCAATTGAGGGCTGAACACCTGGCTTGCCAGCTTTACAGGGTGGGATCTGTGAGCCGTATCATTCAGTGATCGTGATCTCCGTAAAGCGCTCTAGTCGTAATTTTCAAACTGCTTCACACCACAGAATTCGATGTCCCATCTTCCAAAAGATCTCGCCGGTGCCCCAAAGCAACTTTCAGCCGTCGTCGGCTGTAAGCGCAACATTGCCTTTATTATACCAAAATCATTTCTTTTAATCGATGCGCCTTTCAACTTTTGCAAACAGTTCCGGTGATGACTGGATTTTTTTATTATGAACTTTTGCCTGAACAGCGCACTTTGACAGCTCTGATTTCGTCCACTGATTCATTTTTGCGCCAAAGTTCTGTGCGCTGTGATGAGTGCGCCTGTTCACATACATCTGCAATATGTCTGAAATTTTGTCTTCTTTTTAATATATGATTTCTTATTCTCGGATTGTTTTCTCGCACGATGCTCTCAGCAGCGGAAATGTTTTTTGCTTATTTTTTATGACTGATCTGTATTCTCTCGTGTTCCGTAGTCCTCTTCAAGCAGCCGGTGTATTTCCAAGCCCACTGGGTTAGCATACAATCTAGAGCGTAGGGCTGAACACTGGTTCAGTTTGGAATGAAATGAACTGTTCGATCGTGTTTGTAAGTAGTTATTCAGGTCAAGCTGGAACAGTTCGTTTTATTAAAAATGAAAAATTAGAGTATCGGATTTACCTCAAAATTGCTATTCCTTCCAAATTTTTTGCATCCGTTCGTTCATTTCAAATTTCAGATTGATATGAAATGTCATTTTTTTAGAAAGAAATGTTTTGTTAAGAGAAAAAAGCGGTGCACAGTGTAAAAGCGCCGCGACGAGGCCTGGAGTG